ATTGTTTTGGTTTTTGTATTCATCAAGCTGTAATTCAAGCTCTGAATACAAAGGTTCTGCCTGTTGCCCTTTTATGCGGCAGCAATTGGCATTTAAAATAAATGCTGATATTATAATTATAAAAGCATTATGCCTTTTAGAGCTGTTAATAGTCACATTGCTTCATTTTTTTATTCCACATTTGTCAAAATCCTGACAACATACTCTAGAGCAGTGTAAGATTAAATGTTGATATTGTTACTCAACAAGAAGATTGATTACATCTTAATAAGATGTATTCAGTGCACGCTACATGAAGTTATCATCTTATATGAATGCAGGCATTTATTTAGCATGAACTGAAATTATTTAAATCCTAAGAACTTTTCTTTCTGGTTAATGTTATATTATACAGGCATTAGGAGCAAACATGATGCAGTTGCACACTATTAATATATTAATGTGTGTGAATACATAGTTTATAAATAGAATTATGAATAAATGCATCAGTGCATTGTTACAGAAATTACTACTAAATAGCCACAAAATGGTACACAGCTCTCTATTGGCATAACATTAACATAGCCTGAAAGGGTACTTAGAGCCCTTGCAAGAGTTTTGAACCATCTGTACAGTGTTTGCTTCCCAGCCAGTGTTTGTTTTGATCTCAGAAACTGCGAGTACTTACGCAAATTTAGCAATTTCTCAGCTTCTTCAGGTGAAGCAGCACCAAATCAGAGCTGAGGTGCTGGGGTACTAAGCAACTTTGCTCTGGAAATGTGATTTGCAGAACCCTTGCCATGAACGGAGAGCCTTGGGTGTAGACCTAGCTAAGGTCTGATGCCAGGGAGGAGATGCTGAAGAGGAGACATCTGAAGTCCTGGTGCTTTGGAGGCTCCAGGGTCTCCATTTGGAGGCTGCAGTGTCTGTATTTGCAGAGTTCAGCTTGGTCCTGATGGGAGGCGGGTACTCTGAGCACTCAGGGATCCTAAGAGTCACTAAAAGAAACTACAAAATATGCTGGTTCGGGCGGTAGGCTGATGATGTGAATCAAAAGCAAAGGGAAAAAATGGCATGATTGCTAAAACAATTCTTTTTTCATGTCCCTACCTACAATTTAAACAGGGGAGGTAAAAACAGTATTGCAATGGCCTGCAGGAAAATATGGTGAACTCTTGTTTTAACATCTTTGAATCGCAGAGGGAATGAAAGCCTAGAGTAGCCTAAAATTCCAAAGCCAGTCCATCTCCACATGTTGCAAAGAAGATTAAGCCTTGATCCAAATTCCTTTTAGTTAGATTCCGCTCCACAAATGGATTTTCAAGTATCTGAGTGGTTCCTTCCAAAAAATATATTATTTTCATTTCCTGAAAATAGCAAGGTAGTTGTATTGGAAAAACAGAAAGCATCATTTCAGTAATAGGCTTCCCGGGATACCTTATATCCAAATTGCTCCAATAGGGAGCGGGACTTCAGTCTTCAGCCAGAAAGGAGGGTTTTTCATGTAGGTGCAACCCCTATGCCAACTTCCTGGCATTGCTGCGCGTTAGTCCCAGGCAGTTTGGGTGCCAATGTCTAGCTTACAGAAGGTTTCTCATTTTCTTCTTTCTTGTAAATTTGCCCTCCTTATTCAGCTTTCTTTTATATTCAGATAAAACGTCTGATCAAAATCTTTGAACTTCAGAAGTTTAGCATTTCTATATCAGGCACCTAAATAAATGTCTTGATTTTTAGCCATGCCAAGCATCTACAGCCTCATTCTAGAGAATGCAGAGCTGTGAATGAAGGCGCTGATTCACAATCAGCTCTGCCTGATTTAGGTGCCTAACTTCAGGAGATTGGAAAATGTGATGTGTCTGTTCTTGAGGATGCTCAATGGCAAACTACACTTTTTCCATACTTCCTCCCACACCCAAATATAGAGTGACGGTGGCCATTGGGTCTAAATAAACAGCTAATCATTTGCTGCTTGGATATACTAATTTAATACAGCCCTGGGGTTGATCTCTGTTTCTCATTTTGGTGCTGCTTCTTCTCATCTTCATCATATCATTAAGTTCGTTAAGCAAACTCATTCATCCCATTCATGTTATCTCATTCATTAATGGAGATAAATGTGGAAATGGCTTCTCTCCCTTGAATCTATGGGCCATATTTGGCCATGGTGGTCCAAAAAGTAGACACTTAATTTGAATAACTAAAGATAGGCAGAAAGAAGCTAGGCCTTGGTGAAAACATCAGGTCCCAGAATTGTTGCTCTTTCTTACCAGGTAAATAAACAAGAGGAGCTACACTGAGAGCTTTTTATTGTGTCACTAGGAAAAACATGAAAATATTAAAAAAACATGTCAAAAAATCTGCCCTGAGCTGCTTCCATCCAAAGGTTGCTGCTGGGTGTAGTCTAGCTGTATGTGTTGACACTGAGCTGTTTATTTCTCTCTCTTGTGAGAGCTGATACAGATGTCAATGTTGGTAAGTGGTTCTGGGTGGACCTTCCAATGCAGAAGCTCTAGTCCTGCTAAATTAAAGGACTAGAAGTATAAGAAACACTAAAATTTGCCTTTTGTGCAACCTCCTAGTGTAAAGAGAGCAGCTGATGGGAACGTGGCTCTTCGCTGGGGTGTGGAGGTGTTAGGATTTGCTTTCTCTAGCAAGGCAAATATTTAGTGACTAGATGCAGAAAGCGCTGCCTAGCAGGAAGGTGTGAAGTATTCATAATGCTATGAAATACTACTCAAAATTCAATGTTTTTTCACATTCCGTTATGAACTTAAACACTCGGCTCCTGTCACAGAAATTTCTGCTGCAGTAGATACAATTTCTAGTATAAATGGGCTTGCTTTCAACAAAAAATGGGACACTTTTCAGAGAAAAAAAAGTGGCCAATTTATGAGTTAAATTGGGGCTTTTTTCAGCAAAGAGGTTTACAAACACGAAGTGATAAATGGCTTTACAAATTTTCTATACAACAATACAACTTCTTAATGAAAGTAATGAGAAATACATTTATGGGAAGGGAGAGAGGCTCTATACAGGTTTTAATACATTAAAAAACACTTTAGAAAAGAAAAATATGAAAACTACAAATTTTGTTCAGCTTCTAAATCCAACTTTGTGTTAGAGATTTGTCAGCAATAATTCCTTCCCTATATTTATGATATAACTCCAGGTTCTGCGATGGATTTGCTGCCTTCTCAGGATAGTTTCATGAAATAATAAAAGAATAAGGATTTCTTAGGAATCCCTAAGTGTCATCTGATTTTCTAATAGCCCATGTATTATTAAAACTAAATATATCTTCTGGCTTGAGCTGTGAATTTTAGCTGCAATCATTTTGCTTTGTATAAAGTGATTTGGTCAGTAACTGGTCTGGTTGCTTTCCTTCAAGATGTAGATCAGCAAAGAAAGGGGACCTCCATACAGATGCTTGAGGGATGGTGCTGTGATGTCCTCAGGGAGATGCTCAGTTGGTGAAAACTTTCAAATCAGTTAGCTACAAAGCAGACCGTGAGGTTACTTTGCTAAGCTGGAGATGAAAAAGAAGTCAAAAATTTTAACTAGCATGAGGTTTATTGAGGTTTATTGCTGTGGTGTAAACCCTGTCCCAGCCTCTTTGGTTCTGCTTTACAAGGTGGTTTATGGGTGGCAGATGGAGACCACTGAGTTGTCATGTGGAGTTTCACACCACTTCTCTCCCTGCATGTTAATTCTGGGGGAAAATGTTAGATGAAGGACATGGGCAGGGTGATCTTGGAGCTTGCGGACTTGGTTCTTGTGAGATCAAGTGATTGACAGAGCTGGTTTGAGGTTAAAAAAGCTCCTTGGAAGTGGCACTTGGCCAGTCCTTTCTCCCCACAGGGCCTTAGCCACCTTTCAAGCAGTAGCTTTGCCCCTCAGATCCAGGCAGAGTTTCTAAGGAAGTTTGATATCTCATTCCAGAGCACATGCAATATATTCTTACCTTATAGCTTTAAAGGTGACCGCCACACTTTCCCATCTGTGTCCCCATCAACACCGCAGCACATATGGTCCTCAGGCAGATGGTTCTATATGAGGCAGTCATACAAATAGGCAAAAGATTCATTTTTATTAGGTGCCTGGTCTTGTCTCCGTGAAGTCCACGTCCGACTTCTCCACATGTTGCATGGAGGCTGGTTCTGATCCTGCTAATAACTCCCCTTCATGGGCTGTGTTAATGTCCCCTTGTCCAGAAGGCCACCAGATGTGCGTCCACGTGTGGCGTGAGAGAAGTGCATTACTGATGCTCAAATTCTGACTGTGGACCCAATTTGTTTTCTCTGGTTCTCCTTGTGGGCAACAAAACTGAGAATGGCTTAGGCTACACACCTGTGCAGCTGGTGCTATCTGGCCCTACAGTATATAGGAAGCCAGAGAAATAATAACACTCGTGACACTGAAATTGGACGTACAGATGTAAAGCATTAATGCTACATTAATGCATAGAGCGGAATGACTGTGTCAGCTGCTGCCCATTTTTAGAAGCTGCTTTCTTGTTTCTTACAGTGAAGCAAATTTAGATTACCATTCTAAATGCTAATGGGCAGAATGCATGAGATTTAACAAAATAAAGTGAAATTATATGTAGATTGTGACATTAGTATTTAATTATGTACCCATCATAACACTGATGAGGCATGCTGCTAAATATTGGTGCACTGAAGTGAAAGCTTATCCTTAAAGAGTGGGTATATTTTACTTTCTTTCCTCTTTCCTAATCTGTTTAAATAACAGCATTGATTATAGGCTGTTTACCAGTTTTCACCTGTTATTGCTTTCTTCATGCTGTATGCCAGCTCAGGTTTGCATCACAGCCCCTGAAGCTCAGAGGAAAGCTGTGCTGCTTCTTTGGTGAGGCACTAAATGTGATTCCATGTATCTTATATTTTATCACACCCAAATAAATTTTAGATTTGTTATTTTTATTATTATTATCTTAGTGTAAAGAAAAAAATGGAAAAAGTAACCCATTTAACTTTTTTTAATTTCTTTTTTTTTTTCAGACTATGGAAACCCCCAAATATGAGCTGGTTGTAGAAGCTAAGGACATGGGTGGTCTTGATGTGGGATTAACTGGCACAGCGACTGCCACTATTCTTATTGATGACAAAAATGATCATCCACCTGAATTTACCAAGAGGGAGGTAAGAATTTGCCATCTGTGTTCTATAAAACATTGCATGGATTTGTACTTGGCTTTTTTCTGAACAGAAAAAGTCACTTAATAGACAGCACTGATACAGAATTGCTTTTTCTAGCAAAAGATGAATTAATTTGAAAATCTGTGATCAAAAATGTAGTGTAGAATGGTACCAGACACTAGTACATCTCCAGCTCTGAGACAGTAATTTGTCAAATATCCTGCTGTTCTAGTTCTTGTTCTTCAGACCAACCCCAAGATCCCCATAATGTTCTTTACCTTGATTTTTTGTCTCCATCCCGTGTATCTTTTTAGCACAATGAGATGGACTTTTTCTGAGCTGCACCTTTCTTCTTTTACGTTATTAAATTCAACTGTACCATTTCCACAACAGAGTGTGACTGCAAGGTAGAAATTCATGCCAAGGGGCTATTCTTGCGAGGTTGGCTGGCAGGATGAAAATCTGTAAATTATGCTTGCTGGTGGGAACTTTCTTCCTTGGCTCCTGCGGGGGGAAATGGAGAGTTTTCCTGTTGTCTATATTCTAGCTAAGGGCTTTTGATGATAGGCAACTTGGATGAGAGCAACATATTTTGTCATGTCTTCAGTACTTCACCTGTAAGACAGGCCGTGTTGACAGTTCTGTAATGAAAACTGTAGCCCCAAAAGCTTTAAATTTCACTATGGGTGAAGTTTGCAAGCCGAGTTTTTGTCCTGCAAATTGAATTGCACTGAGCCATACTGAAAGGCCTTGGAAAAAAAATAAAAAAATAAAAAAATACCCAGACACAAGATGTTCACTGCACTCAGGAGAATGTAGTACTGCTGCAGCAAAGTTTCTGTTTTGAAGCAAAGCAGCTTCCAGCTTTCCAGTTCTTCCCACACTGCTCCTTTCCCTCCCCTCCATTTGGTACTAATCTGTTTTTTGGGTTTCTTTTTCTTTTTTCTTTTTTTTTTTCCGCTGGCACCTGGAGAGACTTAAAGCCTAACAAGAGTTTTAGCTAATAACAGCTGCATTTGGACTTTGCCATAAAAGTTTCCTGAAGTTGTTCAGTTTTAAGGAATATTCCCAAAAGATGAGAAGTAAGCACGGGGGATTGTGATTTTAAGATAATTTTAGAAGAAGGAAGTGAAAGCCTATTGTTAAAAAAGCCTTGTTTTTCTCCCTTGGGTGTGCTTTTTCTTATTTTTTTTAATGTATTTGCCTGGCCTAATTTTAGCCATTTGACAACAGATTATTTTGAAATAAATTACTGCAATTTTACATGAATAATTACACCTTTTATAAATGCAAATTGGATAACCAGATTAAAAAAAAAAAAGAATGCACGAGGAATTAAAAGAAAAAAGCAACTTGAATAAGAAACAATGGCAATTTTGCCAACAGGAATAAGAGTTTTTGTTAATCAGAAGCAATAACAGTAATTACTTTTAGCAAAATTCTTTGGCAAAAGCATTTCAGGCACCTGAAAAGCAACATGAAGAGCCTTATCCAACCCTTTCAAGTAAATAGGCACTAAGTAAGTGGCTTTGATGGAGTTTTTAATTTCCTTAGGATTGTCCTTTAGGTCAGGCCCTTAATGCCCTGAGAGCTATATACTGAGAACCAATACTTGAAGTACATATAAAATCTATTATTTTAGAGCTATGGATCATAATTAACAGTACTTAAGGACAAGTCAATTTATTTAGAAGCAGGAAGTAATTGTATGCATCATCATTAATGGCAGTTCATGTCACTCAAAGTACTGCATACATGAATTTCCAGGCTTTTGCCTTTTGCAGAAATCTATTTTAATCGTGCATCCTGTTTGCCTTAACGATTTTCTGTAGTAATTTGGACTTGCTTGTTAAAAAAAAAAATGGGTGTCTGCTTAAATCCTAAATTCACTGTTAGGCAGGGTCTACTTCTGGAGAATTCTTAAGAACTTCTTAAGAATTCTTTTCAGTCACTGCTAGTGAAAAGTACTCTGTACTCCCCAAAACATAGTGATTTCAGTACAGAATTACAGTAACGAGTGCGAACCAACAGTATTATGTAGCTGTCTTTGAAAAGCCTGGTTTTATAGTTATTTCCTACACTCTATATGACATATAAATTTTCCTGTTTATACTTACCTCTTTTTTTTAATACATCGTGACACTGTTTTGAGCATTTCACTGTAGTTCAGAGATGGTAACGACATCAGAAATCTTCCTCTTACCTTAATAAATGGCACGATTATTCTGTGGATATAAGCAGGAAAAGTCAGACTTCAGGGCTATGCTATCAGCTCCCTTTACAGAGCTTATATGTGCTCTGTGTAAAATATGAAGTTGGGGAAATGAAGAACATCTATTAATGAAGCTAATGCCGCTTTCTTTGACTTACTCCTTAAAGTACCTAGCTATTTTATTTAAATACCAGTGTGTGTATGTATATATATTTAAATCCTAGTGCAATACTATTGATGTGAAGAGAACCTAAAAGAAAAGACTTATTCTACCAGATAAATTTTGAAGTAGAAATCTCACATACAGTAAATTTCAGGCTGATTCTTCTATTTACTTTGAGATTAGCTGCTTTCTTTTGTATCGGATTCTTTAGTATTGATGAATTTCCCTCCTCTCTTCATTCTCCTTTAAGATATTTTCCAGTAGTGCAATTTTCTCTTTTATAAAACAAATGCCTATTTACCAGCCTGTGTTTTCTTCTGGCAGTATAATTTCTGTCTAAAATAACTCTGCCTTTGTCATTTGCTGCTGATGCAGCTCAGTTAAGCCAAATTTTTAGTATGTTCTCTTCGCCTGTGAACGTGGTAGCTAGCACCATTCCTGATCTGGCATGATGAAAGACAGTGATGTGAATATGAACTGGGTTTGGTTCTAAATATTGTTTCACCCTCACACTTCACTGAGGATGGGTTTTAGTTTTGGACAGTGGACCGATCTCTCTCTCTTTCTTTTTTCCCCATTCGGAAGATGATTTTACCATGTATTTTTGAAACAAATTGTTCATGAATCTACCCCTAAGCAGTGGTGCTTGCTTGTTTACTCCTATTTGCTTGTGTTTTTATGAAGCCAGTTCCTTGCACACCTAAAATACACGTTAATGGGCTTTATTTGGTGTTTTCAGGAAGGTCTGAGTGCTCCTTTGCTCCTGTACACAGTTTTGCAGTAGCCTCTAGTGGCTTTATGTGGATTTTGCTGGAAGACAGGATGGTCACCTAGTGAATCCCTATTCCCTCTGGTCTTTCTGCATCCCCCAACCATGCAGTTCTGCTGCAGTTGTGGTCTTCATGCCCAGGGAAAGAATTCATAGCTGGTGTGTCGGGATGTAATCACAGAAGATGCTGAGCAGCTGGGCTGTGATCCAGCAAAGCACTTCCATTAGCTGCAGAGGAATTGCTTAAGCCCTTGAGGTTGGAAGCGTGTGCCAGGATCTTTGATGGGCTAATGTATTAGACATCGCTTTGTGGACTCAGACCAGTTAATTATCTTGTTGCTGCCCCATCAGTATATACATCTCTCAGAATATCTGCCTTGTTCTCTTTCACTTATGTACTTACCCCTGCTGCTTGTAATAGCGTCCGAGCAGTGCAAAAATCCATTCAGACTTGCAAACAGCGCCCTGCTCCCACTGGGGCTTTAATAACTTCATCTTTAATACTTGAAAAGAGCAATGTTCCAAAAGCTTCTCCAAAATTCCTCAGGTGAGGTAACGAGGTCTACTTTTTTAAATATCATAGTGGCCGGGTTACTCTGCCAGGTTTAAATTACAGAGAATGAAAATAGAGATACTTGTGAATTTAGTGGCCTTTTACAGGAAGTTTTTAAAATTTGCAGTCCAATTTCTGTAATATGGAAAGGTTTTAAAATGAATGTTATGAATATACATAGCATTCATATCTATATAAAACATTTATTTTGTAATCACAAAGAACACATCCTCTCCAGCATGTGAAAGCCTTAGGGCTCAGTTTTTGTTCAGTAATAAAGGAGTCCTTGTGTGAAAGTAAATAATAAAGCAAATAACAAGGAATTGATCAATCCTGGAAAATCTGATATCTGACTTTGGCACTGTAGGAACAGACAAACTGTTTAGGATTGAGTTAGCTTAGACTGAGTATGTGGTGGTGCTAAGCACGGATTCTGAACCCAGCACATTAAGGAAAAATAGGATGATTTTCTTGTCATTTTGTAGCAGTGAGCAACAGACCACTGTGGTGGTTTGTGTTTGCAAAGCAGCGATTTGGGACTAGGGACAATGCTGGTGGGAGAGGGTTGGGATTTGCAATATAGCATCTATGGGGAGTCATGAGCAGGTAAACATTTCTCGTGGTTCTGGCTTGCCTTCCCTAAGAACCGGGGCAGGAAAACCCAAAAAGTTTCAACTAGAAGCCATGAGAGTTTCACTCCCTGCTGCTTCTGCTTCCTCCTCCACAAGGAACAGTGCAGAGAATTTCTCCTTCTGGGCTTTTGTCCTTCCTCAGTGGAAAATATGTGCTCAAAAAGAGGCATTCCACAGAGTCCGTTTGCCTCCCTCTCTTCACTTTTGTCCTGACTTCTTTGAAGTATCTGTTCCTAAAGGAGGAGGCTTCCATTGCTCTTCTTTAATAGTAAATATATATGCGTGTATACATTTTTTTTTGCTTTGGTATAGGATGAGTTGTCTTTTCTTAGCAAATTCCATCAGCAGGAGGAGAGAAGAATGAAAATTATGTAACTTAATAGGATTCTTCTACTTCCTACCTAGTTCTCACATCTGCCCTTCATCCCAGCTTTGGGACAGCAACGTGTCCCCAGTCACAAATTGGGAAGTAGTGGATTCTGTCACTGTGCTCCCAATTTCGCAGAAGAAAGAGAGAATTCATTTGGCCAGGGAACAGTCTCATTCTTGAGACAATCTCTCATTCTGCCACTTCCCATCCTCACCTTCGACTTCATCAATTTCTGGCATAAAGTAATACAAAATAGAAAGGCGTTCTGTCACATCAGGAGATTAAGACTTGGGAAAATATTTCT